TCCAGGCCAGCTTCCAACAAAACCAATGGGCAAGCAGCCCGAAAGTTGCAAGTCGTGGTCACATTACATCATGTCTAAAGATGGTGGGTGATACACTTAACAACTGTAACTAAGTTGGTGGTCATGTGTTTTACTTTATGATGATGTCATTTAGCAATGTTATTGCTGGTCCCAGCTGTGGTTGATAAGTAAGGTTATGAATAGAAGTACATAAAAAGAAAAAAGAAAAATCTCATTTGCACAATTTTGGATTCCATATTGCTGTGATGCTATTGTCCACTTAAATATTTGCTGATCATAAGAATACACCAAAAGTATATTTCATATGTAATTTAGTCAATATCATTATGTGAAACATACAGAATGGATTGTTACTGGCAGTGGTAACATTTGTTTCTTCCCCAAGTTCTGCTATATTGCCTCATCATGCCCCGTGCTTGTGCTTGTGTTTATGTTCCTGGAAGGGATAACAAAAGAGTATGTAATTCCAGCAGTCACCCAAGGCATGAAGATCATCCCAACTGTCCAAATAAAGCAAGCAGGCATCTGCATCAAACAGGACTGGCATAGAAAGAGGCTGGAGGTAAATGTGAGAAAGGTATTCTTTCATACTGCATGGGAGAAAGCAGTGGAAAACTAGTGGTGCAGTTTACCAAGCAAATTACATAAATAGACAAAATAAGTGATTATAGGCCACTCAGGTTGGATGGTACTCAGTGTGCATTTGAGGAATACCTGAGTATATTTCAGAGTAGCAATGGTATTTACCATGCAACTAGATTATAAAGCATTCCAGATATCTAGTAGCTGATACTCCATGCAGAAAAAGAACATTTGAAACTGCAAAGATGAAATTATAGTGGGGGCGTGAAATCTAAGAATCATGAACATGGCTCAACACAGTAAAAAAAGAGAATTTTTTAATGATTCACTGATATACTTTACATATCAGTAAAATGAAATGGACTGGAATTGTATACTTTCAGTTAGAAGACTAAGCTATTTATAACTAGGATATGAAAAACAGAAAGAATAGCATTCTTTTTGTAATTAGGAAGGAAATAGCAAAGACATTACTTGGATCCAATGCAGTCAATGATCCAATCAGATGTAAGGATATTAACATCCAAAGCACCCTAGAAAACATTTCCTAGATATACAAGGTGGTTTTAGAAAAGGTCAAGAAGAGATATTATTGTTAAAGCAAGGATAATTTAGAAAGATAAAAGAATAGCAAAACTATATCAGTATGAACATCATTGATTATATACATTATGTCAAGCAGTGGAATAGCCTTATGAAAATGGAAATCCCAGAACAAATTGTTATGCAAAACATATACAAAGGGAAAAAAAACCCACAGTAAAGTGTAACATGATAAAACTGATTAGCCCCAAGTTGGCAAAGGGTGAAACAAGACTATGGATTCATTCATTTATTAAAGATGTATGCTAATATGTACCGAGGAAAGCTAGACTGGAAGAATATCAGTGTGATTTAAAACTGGAGGAAAAACATCAAGCACCAAGTACTCTGATAGTTGAAAATGAAAATGTAAGCTCTAGTAATATGTCAAGAAATAAAATAAAAATGCAACTGTGATGAAAAGAAGAAAAATACAGCAACCCATATTAAAGTCGACAATGAAAACACTGAAGTGGATATTTTCCTTATTGATCAACTATAAATAGTGAAAATAAATAAATCAGCAGTTGAGAAATACCCTAGAGACTAGCAACTGGTAAGAAAGCAATGAAGAACCTGGAAAAAATATTCAGGTATAGAGACATGTTCTCTACCTAGGAAAATGCAGAATCATGCAGGCAATGATTTTCCTGTGATACCTGATGAAAGTGAAATTTGAAATTTTATAATGAAGAATAGCATTTGCATCTCTCTCTCTGAATATGTACATATCTGCTTTGCTTCCATATCTGCATAATTTTATATAATTTTTTCACCAGTTTTTTTAATGTGGTAAAGGTAGGCTAGTTGAGGGCTTAACAAGGGCCATCTAAGTAAAGTTGTGATGGAAAACAGATTTAAAATAAGGAATTTCTAACTACAAACAAGTATAAATCAGTTATCTTAATTGCAATGTCATATGAGAGAAATGAGGTCAAGCTTCATAAAAATATGAATCCTTTTATCATATGTATATTTTGAAATATAAACATTGTCCCAAATAGAATTAAGTGGTGTTTTAATTTGAACTGGTACTCAATAGAGTATTTATTCACATTATATGGAGGGAAGCCAAACATTATCCACTCACAGTGAAGGCAAGAAATAGAGAAAAGCAAGTATACAAATAAAATATATTTTCAGATGAAATGGCTTTGTCTAGTTGAACGTATAACATAAGATGAAAAGCTGGCATAATGACACAATATTTCCAGTTTAACGTATGAAGAGACTTCAATAAATCGCTCTTATTTCTATCTAACACTACATTCTATTATGTCTGAAACTCTTTTGAGTGCAGCATAATTTTTAAAATATCTCCTGTCTTCACTCACATGTAAATGAAATATTGAAACTTAAAATATCCTAAAATGGTAGGTAAATATGCTTAGTGGTGATCTGAACTAGCAAAATATCAGTTTGTGATGATTCACTAAGCATAATAGAGGAGCAGTAGAGCACCACACATGCTATGACTTACAAATAGAATAAAACCATTATACACTGAGAATGTGCAACAAGGAGGAGAATAGGCACCGTAAAGCAAGACATGATGGCTTGCCAGCTGCCTGGTTCTCTGAAGGAGACCTCTGAGACCATGTAAGAAAGAAATTAAATCATACTGGCAAATATGCATATTTTCTGAAATATAGGAACAGCAATGTTATCATTTTATAGACCTACAATTCAAGCAATCCACTAGTCTTTCCCAGTTGAATGTCCTCTAGAGGGCTTGTATTTCAACCCTAACAATCCACAGCATTTTTGAAGTCCAACTAATTTGGAAGGCACCAAGTTGGGGGAAGATGCACTACATCAATCCAACATAAATGAAGACTTTCATGTTTTAAACTATGCTTTACTTCTATTCCATGGCAACAAATAGTACAAAAATAGTTACTGCATAGTTTAATTTAGGAACATTTAAACATAGTTTAATTTAGGAACATTTGGATAATGGTATTCTGTATCCATTAAAGTATTAAGAAATCTGTCAAGAAATACCAACATAAAACTTTAAAGAAACACACAGTGGAATGCTTGATTGTTAAAGAGTCCATAGAGAACATTTAGGGTACACCTCAATTAATAAGTAAAATAAAATTCAAGTTCAGGTTTGTCCTTATTTGATGATTTCATTTTTTCTGATTTTTGAAATGCCACTATTTTTATTTTTTAAACTTTTTTCTGCATTTAGGAAAATAGAGATTTAGAGTATGTTCCAGCTATAGATTTAAATATTAAATTAATAGTATTTAAACATAAAAATGTTTACTTTCTAAAAATAAGTACAATGAAATACTTAAAATGGAATAAAAACAAGCAGCAAATCATACAGAGAAATCTGGATAAATGCTTCTAACATTTTTCATTCTCATTGGAAAAGTCAGAAGCTTGTGACAGCTAACTTTCACAATGGGAAGATTAAAACAACATGCTGCCTTACAACAGCCCAACTAGCAAGAATTGTAAAAACTCAGAATATTTTAAGAATTCAAACTTCACTATTGTGCACCTAACATTTGATAGTATATTATCTTTTTCATAATCACTGATTTCTTCTAATAGCAAAATAGTACCAAATACATCTGCAAAGCAATGTTTGAGATTTGGCTTAGATTTATTGTAAAGGATATCAAAACATTCTTCCATAATGAAGTGTCCCAAAAGCATGGTGGCCTGTAGGCTGCATTAACTAATCTTAGGAGGCATCATTAAATAGCTTTCATACTATAAAACTTTGTCCTCCATAATAAACTCTTCTTTACCCTGCATTGGCCCTATACCATTTATTTTCTTTCAAAAAGAAAAAAAAAATTCTTCTTTCCAACTGTAGTTTTGTGGTTTCTCTTCTTGGATTTTAGAATGAAGACATTATAAGAACAAGCTTTTGTGAAATTGACACAAATCTTCTTAAATAAACTTTGAAATTAAGCCCAACAACCTGCTGTGTGTTAGATTCTTTGATTCTTCTCATCACAGAATGTATAAGTTGGATGCAAACTGACAGGTCTTATAGTCCAATCCTCCTTCATTTCAAGAATCCACTAATCATCCTTGATAGGAGGCTGGGAGATCACAATTTTTAAAGACAGACTGTTCCATTGCTTAGCTGTTTTTACTCTCAGGAACTTGCTCTTAATACCTTCTGACAAGATGAAAACTTGTATGGCTTTAGTGTAGATAAGAGCAGTTCCTTAGAATCATAAAACAGCAAAAATGAAATATCTGTTTTAATTCTTGCCTGTTTAAAGCTGTAAATAGCTGTTGGAGAATGAAGAAAGTGGTAAATTAAAAGATATGTTTAACTTAATATTTACTTGTCGATAAACTAAAGCAAAATGAGATGTTGCAGAACTATAACTTACAGATTTAATATAACAGAATAATCTTTCAATTTTTCATGAACATTTATAGACAATTCTTTAAATTTGATTTTTTTTCTCCTGCCACTAGGAACTATTCAACAAAGAATGCAATTGTTTCAATTACTGGTTTATAGCAAACTCCCACATATGGTTTATGTTTGTGTGTGTGTGTAATGAAAAACTGACGTTTACTTAATTGTGACATTATAATGTGAGTCACATTGTTTTTCCACATGAATTACAAGATAAAATAACTACCTATTTCTGTTATGAGTGGAATTTTTTTTAATTCCATGTTAGGGTTGGAGCACAAAGATCATAAACAACTAAACATAATGAAAAGCAGAAAAAACTTCTAAGTTGTAGGGTATAATCATTAATTTGTTATTTTCTTCCATTAAAAGATACTGTGATGAAGAATATGATAAATCATAAGAACTGCTGCATTCCAGTTAGATTGTTATTTGTTAAATCTTTATAGAAATTCTAAATAAGGGGGAAAAGCTGATGTAGTGTATGGTACTCTCAAATAAGACCATTATATTAAATGGCAATAATTTTTAATAATTGTATTGATGCCTTTGAATTGCATTAGAAAATGCCTTAGCTAAATTTTAAAAAATAGTAAAATAGACAAAATAATCTTTTTTCAAATTTTTCAAATTTCACAATTGCTCAAATGTCATCCATTTCATTGGATTTTAATTGGGTATCTATGAAGAAACAAGACACTCTAACGGACAAGGATGGTAGCGGGGAATGGATGTTTCTTACAATTTAAACATTACCTAGGAAGTTCTTTTAGTTTACATAATTTTCCAGTTTTCCCCTGGTTTTCTTTTCTTTCTCTCAGTTAATTTTTCTATCATATATGCAACTATCAAAGAACAATGTGATATCTACTGAATGCTTTTTCTGAAAACACATGTTTTCACACAAAAAGACTTATTTTTTTTACTCTCCCCCCACCCCACCAAACATGTAAACTAGCTGTTGTAAAATCGCTTATCAGTACATCTATCAATAGATGATGAGTAATGGATAAATGTATTTTTTAAAAATTATAATTTACTGTGAAAATATTCTGCCTCTAAATACATATGTATTCTTGTTTTAGAAAGAGGAATCTTTGGATTGTAATTTATATTACTGTTTACAATTCAAAAAAGGATTAGCATTGAAAGAGTAACTTAAAGGGAATTTTAATGTTGATTGAACTGGCCAGCACCATGGAAAGTGGAGAAGTTATGGAGATGTTCATTTGTATGTTTAACGTCTTTTTTTCCATCCTACCTTGTTGTTACATCACTGATTGTCATAAGAGTCTTTGTGCTTTTGCATAATGCCCATCTTTGATGTAACAGAAATTCACATACAAAACATGGACATCTGAAGTAAGCATGCTGAAATACGGGCAGGAACCATAAAACCATGCACAAATATTCTCAGGGGTTTTCTCCAACAAAACTGACATTAACATTTACATGCACCACTTAATATCACACTTGGCCATGGAATAGTAGGGATGGGATTCATGACCATTCCTCTTTGTCAGTGTGCCCTAATCATTTAACAGTTCTGAGGAATTTGGTGCAAAAATATAATATATCTCTATTTAATTGTCCTTCCAACTTGAACTTGTCTTTGCTGGATTTCTGGTCAGTTTTCTGAAAGTTCCCACTGTGCTTCTCCTCTTTCAAAATTTGTACTAGGTCTTTGCCAGAAACACAGATTAGTGTGCAAGTGTTTTTCTCAGCCACTGAAATAATTCTTCTTTGTAAATCATCTGCCACCGGACATTTGCTTCCACTGTTTCCACAGCTCGAGAGAAAGAGGCAGCAGATCTCTCCTCATAATTCTTTACAAATTTCTTTAGCTGGAAATAGAATGTAATGGTTAATTAAGACAGAACTAAAGAAAAAAAATGAAGTTCATATAATTTACAAACTAAGGACAAAAGCTCTATGTTTGCTACTGAACTTCTTGCAATATTTTGCAAATTGAAAGTATAATAAAGCAACAAACTGTAACTGCCTGAAATGGGGTTGCAAAATACCGAAGTCCCAATGCCTGATTATATTAGAATCATTTCCTCTATCTCCCTTGTAATCCAGGTGCTTTATGGCAGAGGTCCCCAACCCCCAGATCGAAGCCCACTACCGGACCTTGAGACTTTTGGAACCAGGTTATGGAAGAGGTGGGTGCATGCACACATGCACATCCCCACTTGTGCAAGCAGCAGGTGAGTTGTACTCCATTTGCACAAGCGGCAGGTGCGCATGCCTGCCACTCATGCAAATAGAGCTGCACACCTGCTTGCCCGCCACTCATACGGAACCATCCTAGCCCCCCACCAGTCTGTAAAACCAAAAAGATTGGGGAAAGTCTGCTTTATCTAACTATAGAAAAATTAGGAACACATCTAATGTAATTTTAATTCAGATTAAGCTACAACATTTACATTCTTCCCTGAAGAGTTTTTCTTTATTAAATATGGTAAAATATATTAAATCAGTGCTAATTAGGATTGCTGAACTTTTAAAACATTTTATCATAAAATAATTAAGAATTCATTTACATGTTGGAGGGGTTGTTCAAGCATTATAAAGACCCTAATGCTCTTGGATTTAATATTTTAAATTCACATTATTCTATGAATAGTAGATTTATATTGAACTTAGTTAAATGTCATGAAATTTGATTGACACTTTCTCTTTCTTTCTCAATATAAAAAGACTGTCTTTTCCTTAAATGCATTTATAGAAGCTGAAATTCATACATGTTATATGGAAAATAAATAAGCCTGGTTTTTTTTAGATAGCACACAATGAAGAAAATGAAAAAGAGTAAAAGAATAACTGCAAGTACTGAACTTGCATAATGTTTACCTCATTCAGTTCACTCTCTGTATTAAGAAATTCTGTGACTCCACTTATCAGTTTTGAATTCATAAATAATGCTTCTCCATATCTTCATCACATAGATTAAAAATATAAATACAGAGCATTCTGAGTGGCAATGATTTTGAAATCATATATTATAAACGATATTCCTATTACAATTGTGCAACCAGTTACAGTTTCTATTCCATAATGTCCGGAAATATTACATCTTATGGTCTATGAGCAGTATCAATCATATTGCCCTGAAGCTGTATTAATGGAGTAAAAATAATCATATTTTTCTTCGAATTAAAATTCAATTCTATATATTACACCAGAAAAAATAAGGAAAAGTAGATTTTGGCTAGGGTGAAATTAGCCATCCCCTACATTAGTAAAACTATAGGAAGTTAGATCAAGGCTATTATTAAAGATAGTTACATGGTACTTTATCTAAATATTTACACAAAAAAGATGCAAATGACTCTTGACACACACACACACACACACACACACACCATTTCCTCACTTTTTATAACTATTTAACTATGTACACCCTTAAATCATTGGTATTGTAAAGATTAAATATATGGAACATAAAGCCTACAGTTTATCAAATATTTTACCTTGCATTCAATATTTTCCACTTTTCTCTAAAAAATTTCCAAGCAAGATCTCTTCCATGTGGATTTCTAGCTACATGGATTATGACATCAATTGCATCCTGATCCAGGACAACTTCTGAATTAAGAGATAGGTTAAGTAGCCTTGAATAATAGGAGAAAGGGAAAAATGTTTAGCTTTTACTAACATGGATATTTCAGCATCATGTCATTCAACATCTTGGGATCCCCAACGAAGGTCAGACATTGCTAGATACTAATTGGAAGCCAATGTGGCACTATCTATATATGTTTGTAAAATACAGAAAACAAATTAAATTTACATTTGGCAGATATTTGCTAAAAATAAAAAATAATTTATTATAGGCTTCATAAATGCTACTCTGAGGCTATATTTTTCTAAATCAAATTTTCAAGTTAATATAGAACAAATGAATTTGAATAACTTTCTCCACAGATATTTTTCGGGAGGCAACTGGACTTTCTTGTTTTTCTTTGAAGACAGTTTGCTTCTCATCTAACAAGCTTCTTCAGTTCTGATTGGTTGGTGGGGAATGGAAGGATTTATATTTCAGCTGCCTGCAAGGAATATTTATTTATTTAATTATCTATCTATCTATCTATTTATTTATTTATTTGGTTTCTCAATTGCTTACAAGATAATAGGTATAAGTAAAAACATAGTTATGAATACATGGATACGTATAAGAAAAATAAAAAATAAAAGAAACAATAGGACAGGGATGATAGGCACGTTGGTGCGCTTATGCATGACCCTACAGACCTCTTAGTGAGGTCAATAGTAGACAGTCTAAGGTTAAAGTTTTTGGGGTTTGGAGAAGAAACTACAGAGTCAGGTAGAGTATTCCAGGCATTGACCACTCTGTTGCTGAAGTCGTATTTCCTGCAATCAAGTTTGGTGCAATTGACCTTGAGTTTGTATCTGTTGTTTGCTCTTGTGTTGTTATGGTTGAAGCTGACGTATTCATTGACAGGTAGGACATTGCAATATACGATTTTATATACTATACTTAGATGGGACCGAAGGTGGAGTAGTTCTAGGTCTTCTAGGTCTAGAATTTCAAGTCTGGTGGCATAAGGTGTTCTGCAATGAGTAAAGGAGTGGAGAACTCTTCTTGTGAAATATTTCTGGACTTTCTCAACTGTGTTAATATTAGATACGTAATGTGGGTTCCAGACTGATGAGCTGTATTTGAGTATTGGTCTAGCAAATGTTTTGTATGCTTTAGTTAGTAGTGTAATATTACCAGAGAAAAAGCTATGTAAGATTAGGTAAACAACTCTTAATGCCTTTTTGGCTATGTAGTTACAGTGGGCTCTGGCACTTAGATCATTAGAGATGAGTACTCCAAGATCTTTGACAGAGTTTGGATCATCAACAAGGTCTTGACTATTCAGCCTGTATTTTATTTTCTGATTTTTTTTTGCCAATATGTAGGACAGAGCATTTATTTGTTGAGATTTGAAGTTGCCATTTGTTTGACCATTCTGATACATAGTCAAGGTCTTTTTGAAGGGTAGCAGTATTGTCTGTGGTGTTGAATAGCTTTACATGATCAGCGAAGAGAACACAGTTGCTTTTAATATGATCACAGAGGTCATTTATGTAGAGTATGAAAAGAGTTGGTCCTAGAACACTGCCTTGGGGGACACCACTGTTGACAGGTACAAAATTTGATAGGACGCTCCCAATTTTGACCATTTGTTGTCTGTTTGACAGGAATGCTTCTATCCAGTTATGCAGGTACCATAAGATTATTTTATAAATCCTTCCATTCCCCACCATCTAGTCAGAGCTGAAGAAGCTCCTTGGATGAGCTCCTTGGATGAGAAGTAAAACGTCTTCAAAAAAAGTCCAAGGTAGTCCAGTTGCCTCCTGAAAAAGCACATTTGAGACAAGCATGACCTGGATGAGTGAGAATTACCATATTTCTCATAGATCTGATTTTCAGGAGAAAACAAGTAAGAAGATAAACTTTAAAAAGGATATACATAAGCTATTTGGGACAATATTCAGACCACAAATACTACTACTTCTACTGATACAATAATGAGTTTGAAAAAAATCAGGAAGTATAGATTAAATGAGCATACCTGTTTAACAAATTTCTGTCATCACTACAAGTTAAAGCTTCTAATAATATTTTCTTCTCTGATACTGCTGTAGTTGAGTGGAATTTCATCCAGATGAATTCCCATACATCTTCATCCATCAGTGAAACTCCTGTGCAGTAGACGATATCTCTTACATTTGGTGGTATTCTTCAAAAGAACATATAAAAACCACAACAATATTGTATTTGTAATATATTCATGAGATATAGCATGCAAGTTATAGTTCTGTATCACTGACAGTTTTCCTGAAAATGAAGACAGTCTATATGTTATGCTGGAGTGCAATCTCTCAAGTGTAGTGTATTTAAAAAGGAAAAGAATAAATACAGAATAGTGGAATTATCCTGAATAAAATTTTATCCTCAAACTATTATCTGTGTAAGTGAAAATTTAATACTCAATTTTTGTACTTTTTGTGAAATTGCTAGCAGCCTTGTCAAGATAGGAAGGAGATGGCCTATGAAGGCAGATTTACTTTTTAAATAAAATACATTAAATACATGATGACTACAACTGAAGGACCTCATCATGTAATGTCTAAAGTAGCCGAGAAGACCAAGCAGGCTAACCTATTATCATTTTCTCTTCCCGCAGAGGGTAGGGAGAACAAGATCTGTCTCTGCTACTGTGTCAAGATAATTATGGCTACTCATTTCTCAATTTTTCTTATGATGGAAAAAATAGCTATTTTTTTTTTTTTATTATTATTATTATTATTATTATTATTATTATTATTATTATTATT